AATCAGAAAGACAAACAGGCGTTGGTTTCCAAAAAAACATCTCCCAGCCAAAAGCAAATTGTTCTTCTATGGCATAAACTAATAAGTATACTGTATGTTTTGCTTAAAAAAATGAGTATACTATATGCTATATGGAAAAATTGTGATGTTGTTAATACTATCTCAAATCATGTACCTCAAAATCTGCATATCAATGAATAGTTGAGCCTATCAACTTATCCACGAATACAGTTCATACTAGTACAAAATTAATACCATCCAAAAATTGAACCTTTTCCAAATGAGCAGCAGAGTTCTTCCGTGTCCAACTCTATAAGTTCTCGCCGCCGGCTGCCGGCACCAGCAAGCAACAAGGCATTGCGGCGGGCGGCGGGGGGGCGCAACAAGCACGACACGTTTCATGGCGAGGACGGGCGACCTCCGCTGCGGCGTGTGCGGCGGCGACGCCGGCACCGCGAGCTGCGACGGGGCAACCTTCGTGGCGGAGTGCTCCCACGTGTTCCACTTCCGCTGCGTGGCCGCCGCTTCCGCGGGCACCTACCCGGTCTGCGCCGCGCGGTGGCGCCAGGCGCTTGCCGTGACGCTCCGCCCCGCACCGGCTGTCCAGCTCGTCGAGGTCCCCGGCGACCAGGGCCGGCTCTAGGGGGTGGGCAAGAGGTGTTTGCCCTTGCGATTGTGTTTGCCCGAGGGCCCTTAAAATTATAGAGATGGCCCTGCCGGCGACCACCTCCCGAACACGCCGCCATAGTTATCGATGCCACCGGGTCAGTAGCCAGCGGTGGCGCCGGCGACCGAAGCAACGTGGCTGCCGAGTCCGCCACCTACCCTCTGCGCCACCGCTGCCCGTGCTGCCCCCAACTAGCCCTCTGTGCGACGCTGCCCAGCTTCGCGTTGCCGGCGAGCACACCGGTGACCTCCACGCGCTGACGAGCCTCCATTTGCTGAAGCCTGTTGCTTGTGCACCGCCGAGCCAGGCGCAGAGAAACCGAGCACAAGCGTGGGGGCCCATGTGCTGGGGCGCGCGAAAAAATAGACAACGCGGGCTCCTTCGCTTGCGCGCGGGCACCATCCGACACTAACGCCCCGGATCAGACGTCCGGACGCGAGCAAGTCCGAGCAAGTAAACTTTCTTGCTCCTGCGTTGTGACTAGTACAAAGTACAAACCGGGCCCAGGCCCAGAATACCGGAGAATACGCAAGGAGTTGGCCCAGAATCCCCTAACGTCGACGCCCTGCACTGCACAACGGCCTCGGAGGTTCTTCCGTTCCCTTGCTAGCTTTACGCGCAAGCTGAAAAGATTGCTATCCTCCTCTGCACGGCAACTACTCCAACAGATTGACTCATTTTCAGCATGTAATCCCGTGCAAGAAAAGCTTATATATACTGTACGATCAAACGGAAGGGCTTTCAGATTCGCTGCTCTCCATCAAGGACGGCTAGCTCTTCTCCATGGTGGCCACGACGATGGGAATGGCGGCCACGAGGATAGGAATGGGCATGACCAAGGTCTGCAGCCGGTGCCCCGTCTGCTTCGGCGGCATGGGCCACGGCCAGGCCATCTTCACCGCCGAGTCCTCCCGCACGTTCCACCTCCGCTGCGTGCCCAGACAGAACGTCTGCCCGGTCTGCGCCGCGCGCTGGCGCGACGCCGCCATCGAACCCATGAACGCCGACGACGAGACGGTGGGACCGCCGCAGGCGCACGCCCCTATCGGCGGCGGAGGCCGCAGCGGCACAGCTGCTGGCACCGCCGGGCTGCTGGTGCTCAAGACGCACTGCGAGTACCCGGCGCTCGACAAGGCCGCGGCGCGCGACAGGTTCGGGGTAGTCGTGCACGCCAAGGCGCCCGCCGGAGGCCGCCCGAGCGGCGGGGCGGGCGAGCAGCGGCGGCTGACGGCGCCACGGTGAGAGAGAGCGAGCGCATAGACATTTTTGGACCTCATTGGCTCCCAGGAGGCGGATAGGCCTATCGGACTAATACGGCCCACTTGGCCGTACGCGCCAGCCCATTCCGGAGGTCGGCTCACTTTGGCGCACGCGTCAGCCCATTCCGCCACTTGTCGGCTTCTGGAAGGCCGATAGGTAACACGCTGATGAGGAAGAAGCATCAGATCTCCTTTGCATTTGACTCGAACCTGATAAATGTTTTCACATACGTCGTGAAATGACCAGATGGGTACGATAATGCAAACTTCTTATGGTTGGGAAGCATAGCATTATCGTTGTCAGCTTCCCAATCATCCGGTCATAATGACGAATGGGTTGAACACTTTTCTGTTGTTTTGATTCCAAGATTAGACTCCTTTTCATTCTTTCAACGAGAAAATGAAAACTACCATCTCTAGTCAAGTTTACTTGACATTTCCTAAAAGAGAGACAGTTTGTTTTACTTCTTTTTCAGAAAAAAACTGAATGACAAGTTTAATTGTCTGGTGTAGTAATAAAGCTACAAGCAATATGGCAAGCGAGCATACACCACTTTTCCATGAAAAAAAGCGCATCTTTGGTATGACTCCTCCCCATGCTCCTTTGGAGCAGATGAAACCATAAGGAGGAGCCACAAATTATAGCTCTGACTTTTACACAAAATACGGCTCTGGCTCCTCTTGCATGAAAAAACCGGCTCCTCCTCTTGAGGTGTTCAATACTCGTCGTGGTGGGGACAAAACGAGAGAAAACGAAAAAAAAAGCTGAAGGTGAGTGCTACGGGAGTTACCGCATCGGTACACTGAGCGCTCCAACGAGCCGGGCTCCGAAAAAACAAAATCCATTTTTGTTTCTTGAGGGCCCAACTACGGGCTGCTTTGAGATCGGTGCGAGTTAGCCAGAAAGTCGCCCAAGCTATCAAACATGTTCTCCTGTAACCCATGGGCCTGGTTAGGCCTTCGCACAGGCAAACAAACAAACACATAGAGAACGAATTCAGCCCAGAAAGAATAAAAAAGACAAACAGGCGTTGGTTTCCAAAAAATCATCTCCCTGCCAAAAGCAAATTGTTCTTCTATGGCATAAACTAATAAGTATACTGTATGTTTTGCTTAAAAATGAGTATACTATATGCTATATGGCAAAAAATTGTGATGTTGTTAATACTATCTTAAATCATGTACCTCAAAACCTGCATATCAATGAATAGTTGAGCCTATCAACTTATCCACGAATAGAGTTCATACTAGTACAAAATTAATACCATCCAAAAATTGAACCTTTTTCCAAATGAGCAGCAGAGTTCTTCCGTGTCCAACTCTATAAGTTGTCGCCGCGGGCTGCGGGCACCAGCAAGCAACAAGGCATTGCGGTGGGCGGCGAGGGCCGCAACAAGCACGACACGTTTCATGGCGAGGACGGGCGACCTCCGCTGCGGCGTGTGCGGCGGCGACCCGCGAGCTGCGACGAGGCAACCTTCGTGGCGGAGTGCTCCCACGTGTTCCACTTCCGCTACGTGGCCGCCGCTTCCGTGGGCACCTGCCCGGTCTGCACCGCGCGGTGGCGCCAGGCGCTTGCCGTGACGCCCCGCCCGCACCGGTGGTCCAGCTCGTCGAGGTCCCCGGCGACCAGGGCCGGCTCTAGGGGGTGGGCAAGAGGTGCGGCCGCAGGGGGGCATGATTATATATGTACATAGTAGATATACGTAACCATCATAATAAAGTTTAGATATACGTAACCATCATAATAAAGTGTTTAAGGCCTATACATTTAGCACATCAACGTATGCGGGGCCAGCGTCTGTTCTCGATGGACATAGTTTGCATTTGCTCGAAGATGATTTTTCTTTTACAAAACATTGAGGCATTATTGTTTTATTTAAGGTAATCATAATATTTATTTTTGCGTTATTTTTGTTTTTTGTTCAATACTATCGTTAACTTTTACAAACTAAACATATGTTGTAAGTTATTTTTTATACTGTATACTTCAGTTGTCATATTAAAAATTAGTTTAACAGGCCCTTGCGATTGTGTTTGCCCAAGGGCCCTTAAAATTATAGAGACGGCCCTGCCGGCGACCACCGCCCGAACACGCTACCATAGGAATCGATGCCACCGGGCCAGTAGCTAGCGGTGGTGCTGGCGACCGAAGCAACGTGGCTGCCGAGTCCGCCACCTTCTTCTACCTAAGCCCGGCTACACATCTCAATATCTGTGGTGTTATACTGTTATTAGCTAGTCTATCAACATAACAACTATGATGATTCAAAAAAGCATAACAACCATGATATACTTGGTGTCATTGTCGCAACAATTTGTTTCGAGTTCGCAAAAAAAATGTTTCGCTAGCGCGTAACGGAAACGCTGGTACCCGAGCGTCCGCTGCACGCTCCACCGACTCTCTAAGCCCCTGTGCCGTGCCCCCTACCCTATGCGCCACCGCTGCCCGTGCCGCCCCCACCCAGCCCTCTGTGCGACGCTGCCCAGCTTCGCATTGCCGGCGTCCTCCGCGCTGTCGGCGAGCACATCGGTGACCTCCATGCGCTGACGAGCCTCCATGGGCCGAAGCCTGTTGCTTGTGCACCGCCGAGCCGGGCGCAGAGAAACCGAGCACAAGCATGGGGGCCCACGTGCTGGGGCGCGCGAAAAAATAGACAACGCGGGCTCCTTCGCTTGCGCGCGGGCACCATCCGACACTAACGCCCTGGATGAGACGTCCGGACGCGAGCTAGTCCGAGGAAGTAAACTTTCTTGCTCCTGCGTTGCGACTAGTACAAAGTACAAACCGGGCCCAGGCCCAGAATACCGGAGAATACGCAAGGAGTTGGCCCAGAATCCCCTAACATCGACGCCCTGCACTGCACAACGGCCTCGGAGGTTCTTCCGTTCCCTTGCTAGCTTTACGCGCAAGCTGAAAAGATCGCTATCCTCCTCTGCACGGCAACTACTCCAACAGATTGACTCATTTTCAGCATGTAATCCCGTGCAAGAAAAGCTGATATATACTGTACGATCAAATGGAAGGGCTTTCAGATTCGCTGCTCTCCATCAAGAACGGCTAGCTCTTCTCCATGGCGGCCACGACGATGGGAATGGGCATGACCAAGGTCTGCAGCCGGTGCCCCGTCTGCTTCGGCGGCATGGGCCACGGCCAGGCCATCTTCACCGCCGAGTGCTCCCGCACGTTCCACCTCCGCTGCGTGCCCAGACAGAGCGTCTGCCCGGTCTGCGCCGCGCGCTGGCGTGACGCCGCCATCGAACCCATGAACGCCGACGACGAGACGGTGGGACCGCCACAAGCGCACGCCCCTATCGGCGGCGGAGGCCGCAGCGGCACAGCTGCTGGCACCGCCGGGCTGCTGGTGCTCAAGACGCACTGCGAGTACCCGGCGCTCGCCAAGGCCGCGGCGCGCGGTGGGATCGGGGTAGTCGTGCACGCCAAGGCGCCCGCTGGAGGCCGCCCGCGCGGCGGGGCGGGCGAGCAGCGGCGGCCAACGGCGCCACGGTGAGAGAGAGCGAACGCGAGCGAGAGGGAAGAAGGTAGACACGCCGCTAGATATTTTAGGACATTATCGGCCCCTAGAAGGCCGATAGGCCCATCGGCCATCAGCCAAATTTGCCGTACGAGCCAGCCCATTCCGGATCTTGGCGGCTTCTGGACGGCCGATAGGTTCCACCCGCTTTGCCGAGCAAGCAGACCGTGGGCGTGGCCCCGGGCCCCGGCAGACGGGTACGCCGAGGTCCAGAGGCCCCTCGTGGTGACGCCGACGGACGTGGCGTGGCGGCAGTGGAGGACATGGCTCTGGCGCGGGATGCGGCCGAACGCGGCTCCTACGCCGAGAGGCCGTGCGGATCCTCGATGCCCGCCGGGAGTCGATGGCCCGATCGGCGCCGGCACTGTCCGGCGACGCGACGTGCGAGGCGCTGGCGGCCAAGGTGCACGAGCTAAGCCTGCGCGTGTCGGACGAACGGGAGTACCAGCTGACGGGCCGCGCATGCTTCCTCGCCGCCATGAGCTCGCACGCCCAGCAGCGCTGCTCGTCAGTGCGGCTCACGCGTCCTTTGTCGTCGGGGCTTCAGTTTGGATGTGCGGGATCGGCAATGTTAGTGACTCCGGCCATGCGGAAGATGGAGAAGCTGTCGGAGACGTCGCGTGCGCAGCATGCGCCGGAGTATGGAAGAAGCAAGGCCGCCGCCGTCCCTCTCCCTCCTCGTTCTCACCTCGAAGCAAGGTTGCCGTCGGCTGTCCCTCGTCTCGGCGTGTTTCAGAGAAAACGCCGTCCTGTGCCACTCAAGCGCTTAGCAAATGCTACTAGTTTTAGTTTGGTTCGTCGCTCCGTGTTCTGTCCTTTCTCAGAGGACATGAATGAAGACGACGAGTTCGATCACAAGCACAACAGTCAGATGGAATGATTTGGTTTCGTTAGGTATTCATTGTTTAATGTTTAAGAGATCAAATCCAGACTGTTATGATACTGAGTATGTATATTGCTTGCGGTATCTCATAATGAACTGAGTATTAATCTTGCCTTGCATGCTTATTCGTTGGCTTGTTGCTAAGAGCATCTTCAGCAGATTCCAATATCCCAAAAACCTACTATTGGAGGAGTTGGCTCAAAATCGTTACCCCAGCGGATCCCCTTTCTCATCCCCAACTACTGGCGACCACCAAAAAAGCATCCCAACTAACCCCCCCCCCACCCCCCACCCCTCCCATCGAGGGGGAGATATAGCTCCCCCGAAAACTCATACGCATCCAACGTTCAAAATTTTGGCCGGTCTTCATCGAAACCGGAGATTTTCATTTCCATCAGTGACCTCCGATAAATTCACATGTCATAAATTCTAGTTCAAGTTTTTCAAATTTTCAGTTAAAAATTAATGAAGATTTGAAAATTTTGATTGAAATTTCAACCGATTTTCGTTTCTATCGGTCCCCTTTGATATTCATGTCTCAATCGGTCAGCTGAACTCCACCCACATCCCAACTACTGGATTTCTTTTTCCCGTGGACATTTCTGTTCTGACGAGGCTTCTCCTGGTGCGGCGATGTACGTGGACGGGTTCGGCGAGGAGGGCCACAGCGTTGGAGGGGCGTCAAGGAGGCGTGAGGCGTGGCGGTTGAAAGGGTCACCATGCGGGTGCCGCTAGATATAACGCCATCGTCCACGGGGGAGCCCACACAGCCCACACTCGGTGGAGGCGTGCTTCCTCAAGCTTGAGCCGGCGTTCATCACGTGCAGTCTGCAGAGAGAGCTCGAATTGGTTATGGCGGATCGGGATCTAGGGAGGAGGAATCCAAGGTGGGCCCCACGGAAATGGAGTACTCGGGGAGAGAATAAGGCGGCGTTTGGCGGGGAAGAGAAAGAGGCGGCTGGGGCAGGCGAGAGAGCGGTGACGGGCGACTGCGAGAGAAGGAAGCGGCGAGGAGAGCGATGACCGCATGGGGAAAACAACGAACGAAAGAAAAATATAACCTCTTTCGTTGACAAGTGGGCCCATCTCTATTGGCGATAATTATTGGCTATCTACTGCTATATCTCCCCCAATAAGTTAAAAAGTGGTATTGGGTTATCCCCATTATCATGTTATTGGAGGAGTTATACTGGAGAGTTGCTGGAGATGCTCAAAAGTTAGTAGCGAATGCAAGGAAACTAATCAAGAGTTAAAGGTAGAAGCGAGTAGAGTTCGTCAAAAGATTGAAATAATCATATATATTTATGGATATTCATGTAAGGAAAGAGAGATTAAGAAGCAGACATGCAAGGAAAGGAGATATATTCATGAAAAAATAAAATTAAATCAGCTATAAATAATAAACTATCTATATTCATAACTTTACATCGGTCTAGCGTGCTTGTATAACTTGAACTTTTCCTGATTATAATCACTAGATGTCATTTTCCCAACTTTGTATCCTTAATCTGTATTTTGGACCTAATTTCACTACGTGAAAAATAGTTTGTACCAACAGGCCTATTTTTAGGGGCGGCTGGCATTGGGTGGCGTACTCGGGCTCCAGCACATCAGCCGCCCCTACAAATGGCACAGTAGGGGTGGCTGGTAATATAAGCCGCCCCTACAAATGAGTCTGTGTCCATTTGTAGGAGCGGCTGAATCACCACCCGTCCCTACAAATGCCCGTTGTATACATCGGGCCACTCTCTCCAGCCCGAGCAAAAAAAAAAAGGTTCCAACCCTAACTCCCTCTCTAGCATCCACATCCGCCTCTCCCTCTCCCTCTCCCTCTCCCTCCTCTCTCGGCGGTGGCTCCCTCTCTCTCTCTTGTCTCCGCTCTCCTCCCTCCCTCTTCTCTTAGCGGCACAAGAGGGCCCAGGAGCGGTGGCCTGGCCCGGCACGGTGGCGTGGTGGTCCGGCATGGCGGCCCCAGCTTCATGGCCTGGGGCCCCCATGCAGGTGGTGCGGGCGGTGTGTGGCCATGAAGCAGCCAGCATTGGCTGGCCTTCAGCTGACTCGACCAGGCGTGGGCCGAGCCGTGGCCGCCACCATCTGTCTTGCATGGGCGCACGCGAAGCCTGGCCACAGAACGCATCATTGCCCGGTCGCTGCATAGGTTAAGGTGCTTTGCTCCCTCTCTTGCTCCCCCTCCCCTTCCCTCGCCGGCGCCGGGATGGACATCGATCTAGGCTTGCCGGCTCGGTCTTCCTTGCTGGCGGAGGCCGTCGACGGATCTAGCGGATCCGGTGCCTCCATGACCGGATCCATCGTCCTCCCGTCGGATCTGCGTAGGATTCACTGCACGGTCCTATCTCTTCTCTCCTCTCCACGAAGGCACAAGCGCAAGCGCAAAGGGGAGCAACGCGAACTTTGTGATGCAGATCCTCCGGCGGAAGGTTCGGGAGGCTTCCCGCCGCCTCCCTCTCTTCTACACCTCGCACCACGGCCGGGCCCATGCGGTGGCCACGCTCGCGGGCTCCGCCGTGTGGTGGGCCCCGCCCACCGCCTCGGGCTCGCTTGCTGCTACTCCGTGGGCTGCCACACAGCGCCGCGGCGCCAAGATCTTTCGGCTCCGACGTACGTACGGATTCCCTTGCGACTCTCGACTTCCTCTAATTTTAATGGCTCGGGTTTAGCTAGGGTTTTAATGGCTTGGTGCGGTGAGATGTTTTAGTTACACTTGTTCTATTTACTTCGCCACAGAAATGGTAAAGGTGACTTGCTCATCATTTGTATGCGCCAGGATTGGTTAGTTGTTCTTTTGTTCAGTTCAGGCTTTTATGCAGGGCGGATCCAAAGGGGGGGGAGAATTTATTCAGTTCAGGCTTCAGCAAAAAGATGTTATATCCATTGAACGTTATGCAGGGTATAGTTGGGGCTTGGGAGTTTATTACAGTAGTCATCATCATACATCTATCGAGCTCACGCCGTGAGTTGAAATGTGCAAATTGTGTAATACATGACGCAGTAAAGGGCTGTTCTTTGAAGTATGTAAATCACTATAGCTAGAGCTAGCTGTTAGTAGGATGGCTTACAACCTTACCCAAGGGCAAAAAATGCTTGCGCAGAAATGATCGTTTTATGTAATTACTGACATATGTCCTCTGTCTTTTCTGAAGCATTATGCGCCGATTAACTCTGGGTCTGTCCTCATATATTGTAGGTGAAACTTGGAAATGTAATACAAAGAAGAGGTGTGAGCTTACATCTCTTGTGTTTTACTTTTTCTTTCAAGTATCATTGACTGTTACTTACTCGTCCCTTTGGACAACCTTAAAATTCAAGGTCGCATTTATCAGGTACAGAATTTCTTCTTGTATTATGCATCCATTGGTAGTTACTGTTTTGATGGAGTTACCTGTGTTCATTACAAGAACAAGCACTGTATGGTTTCCTGATTTGCTTGTCTTCTGTTCAGGTAATAAAAGCACAACATTCGCATCAAGGAAGAGGAGGAGCCACAATATAGGTCATTCATTTTATTTGTTCCATAGTTTATTTCCTGCAGCAATTGGCGCCACATACTTCACTCTCATGATTTCAAGTAGTCAATATTTATTCTGTTTTATTTTGAACACTTTGACTATTGCAGGTCGAACTGAGGGATGTTGACACTGGAAACAAAATAACAGAAAGATTTCGTACTGATAAGGCCCTTGAGAGTATGATTTGTTTTTCTTTTTCTTACATAAAAGTATAAAACACGACTTTAACAGCTAAGATGTAGCCATACAAGCCTTTATGTTGTAGCCTAACTGCCTCCATGCATGTAACCATCCCCCTACCTGGGCAGTCCTTTCTTCTGATTACAATTTATTGTTCTAGTGTCTTACATAGCAATCATGTGCAAAGCCAATTTTAGGCAGTCTCATTACCTATGGAACATGATTGAGCAAACTAAATTGAATTCATGACTATAATTATGATGTAGAACATGGTATATATTGATCAAGCAATTGGTACTCTTAGGACCAATATCTCAACAGCCTCTCTAGAATTTTCTATTGCATAAATGCTGCAATTAATTTGATGGGCATGATTGTATTACTTTTGCACATAAGTACACTATATTAATAGTATTGGAGAAAATACAAAAGGGTACAGTACCTATATGTAACCGAGTTTTATGAGAGATCATCTAAAACTATCTGGTTCCACTTCCACCTAAATCCTGGCTACATTTAAGCCTTCCTGTTTAGCCAACTTCCCTACACAGCCTGAGCTGATAGCCTTGTATTGGCCTGACCATCATTGGCATTGGGTAAGGGGATAATAAACACTATCTGCCAACAGTATTCAGTTAGGTGTCAGTTTAAATATTTGATAACACGTTTGCTTCATTTTTTTCAGTTTTAAAATTAAACAATCATGCATATAATGCTAGTCTAATTATTAAATGCTCTCTCTGAACACACTCAGGGGTTTTTGTTGAGGAGAAATCATTCACATATCTGTATCAGGAAGGAGATACTGTGACGCTTTGGAGTAGGTTTCATTTCTTTCTTATCATTATCTATTCACACGATGGGGCTGCGTTCTCGGTCGGTCGGAGGACCTAAATCGCAAACGGAGAAGACGGAGGATCTGCTGACGGCGCGTCATCTTTGCTGCCACAAGCAAGCAGGTGCAGGCCACCGTCATGGCCACTGCCAGCAGACAGTGAGTACCACTCGTTCGCTTAAGTTCCTGCAGATTACGAATTCCGTTTTTAGTCTACTTTAGTGCTACATTGACCTGATGTGTGACTGCAACTCTGCAAGTGGAAGGATTATTAGAAGCTTCTGATTTTGTGATGTTCGATTGCTAGATCTGAGCGCCATTGATTTTGTTATTCTGCGGTCTTTCACATAAAAATCATAGTCACCATGAAATGTTATTACGATTACTGGAAAGTTTAATAAATGAAATTTGTTGTTTCATTTATATGGACTAAACTGTCCACCTAAAAGTCATGG